TTTTGTGGCAAAGAGGAGTGATGCTGTAATCGTTTCCAACAGAACGGTTGTCAAGGCATCGACTTGACTTGTCTCTTTGACGAATTGGTTGATGGTGCGGCGATTGGCAAAACTGACTGATGCTGTCGACTATGATGCTGGCGAAATATTTGGGAATGTACCAAGTCGACTGTCTGATGCTGGGAGTCATGACAACTACCATGGCAGACGACTTCGGACTGTGTGCGTTCAACATAGTCGCCCTGACAACAAGACAAAGTTGCGTCAACGAGGTCAACCCACTTCTATTTACTCCGAGGTTTATAAAACGCAAATTAGCATCATTCAGTCGAGGCAAGATTACATTTTTCTAGAGGTTGTTTGACCTTGTTTTCGCTACTTGGTCATTTTGGTAGGAAGCTCGGAGTCCGTTGTATGCATCATCATGTCCAAAGTCGGACCGTGGACGTGGTACATTCGCAGACGTTTCGCCGGCATCTTAAATGAGTATCACCACACAACAACTCGTCAAAGAGACAAGTGAAGATGGCATCTCCCCTTCTGTCCTGGCCTATTCACATTTGCTGTATCATCCTTTCATACTTTCACAATTACGATTTTAGCGTGTTCATTTCGATGTAGTGTGGTGTGCTCCTTTCAGCGACATGACACCTTCACACCCCAACTTTATTATTATGCAGTCCTCTTTCATAGTCTTATCCCAGTCTCCCTCTTGCTGCGTAAAATCCGTCTGCTCTCTCCCTCGTTCGCCTATTTCACTCGACTCCTGCCACCACATCTGTACCACTCGAGGCGGTATTCGCGCCTCTCCCCCTGCCTCTTGGAGACTAATTCGAGGCGCAGAGCATGTTGCAAAAACAAGGTCAAACAACTTGCATACAACGACAGGAGACTGCAAACACACAAAAGGCCACACACCATTTTGGTCTTCATACGTTCGATTAACTTTTTATATCTACCAACTTTATGGACACTTTCATTTGAAACTCTCTCTCTCTCTCTTTGTGCCGGAGGCGAATGAAAAGTGAAGTAAAGTGTGTGCGTCGTCGGAAGTGCAAGTCGTTTTTGTGTGCTTGTCGTGGCTGTCCGGCCAGCAAGAGCCAACCAAGACGCCAGCGTCAGGCTCGACGCAGTTGCTGGCTGCCTCGGGCGGCCGGACAAAGAGAAACGGCCAACCACTCCGTGCCGTCCACAAAGTGGACAACTCCGATGGACGAAGCAGAAGAGGAAGTGTTCACGAGGCGAGGTTAAGTGGCCACTTTCCGTCTCCTCTTCATCACCTCTCACGGCCCGACGAGGCTGGAACTGTCGAGGCGACGACACCACAACAGACCTGCACGTTTGTCCTCTCGATCGGTGTCCATGGCGACGGCGAAATAGTCCACGTTTTTGTGTGAAAAGTGGAAAATGAGCCTTTCGAACAAGATCATTCCATCCAAAATGTCGGTTGTCAAGAGATTCTATTGCTCGAATGCTACGTCGTCTGAATAGTGACTGTACCGTTTCGCGGAAGAGGTGGGGGGGTTGTGAAATGACTTGACGAGAATCCGGAAGGCGACTGTCGTGGAGTGGAGACTGCAGAATTGTACCAACACCAACTGGGCTCGACGTCTCTCCTTGCCCCGAGGTCTCGTGGTTCCGCGTTACGTTGTCATGCGACAGACACCGGCAGAGAGGGGCGTCATTTCGTTGACGACAGAACAAGTTGACCAACTGCACTGCCGTGGCAACTGGTCATATTCAGCTACAGGAATGAATAAATCAGCATTATCATTGAATGCTGTATATGGATCATACAAAGTCATTGGATGCAAATTGTGTTTTCATTTCAGACCCACTTCATTTGTTCACAAAGTGCATTTTTCTCCAATTTACCTTCTGCCCAGTTTGTGCGGTGCCAGTTTGAACGAAATATTTCCGATGCAGCCAGAAAACCTGGTTGCTGAGGCATAATCCGATCAGTTTGACCAGCAGCTGACGAAACTGACTCGGACCATCAGAACATTGCGTGGCTCCTTCCATCGCCAGCACTCATGTGACAGACATTTTCAGAAAAAGACGATATTCCGAGCCCAGATTCCGCTGCAAAAGTGCTCTTAAGAGAAAGGAATATCTTTGTTTGTGTTCGGGTTCGGCTGACCCAGACAACCTTTGATTATAGGCGGGGGTGAATAGACG